CATTGTTGTCACATTGAAATATGAAAAAATAATTTAAAACAAGGCTTTAAAATGGCAAAATTTTAAATAATTTTACTGCCTCACCTGTAATTTGCAGGTATAATACATTTTCAGGTATGGGAACGTCCATAAATTAGCTTCAAAATAAGTCAAATCTGATTTTTTTTTAAATTAGTCTTAAAATGTGCACATGAACACTCTCTTGAGGATGTTGTAAGGAATTTAATATTCAAAACGATGTGCATTGCGTATATTAAGAAAGTTCACCCCTATCCGGATTGTATGGCCCGTTTTATAAAATTATGAAAATTCAACGTTAAAGTTTTGCTTCCAAACTGGTCAAATTTTAGTTGATTTCCATAAAATTGATCTCAAAATGCACGTTTGTCTATTGTTTAAGGAACTTTATCATATGAATATAAATTAAACACAAAATACGACTGGTTTTAAAAAAAATTCAACCCCTACCCTGGCTGGCGTAATAACAATTTGGAATTTCATATAAAATACGCCGAATTTTCGACTGTATATATCGTAATTCTCACTAGATGTTTATAAAATGATCATAGAATGTGCGTTAGTACATTATTCTCACATTAGAATATAAAATTTTATTATAAAACAAGACTTTGAATGGCAAAATTATAATAATTATACCGCCCCACCTGTAATTTGCAGGCATAAATACATTTTTAGGTATGCAACGTCAAAATTTAGCTACAAAATAAGCCATATCTTATTCTATTTATTAAATTTTAGTCTTAAAATGTGCACATGAACACTCTCTCGAGGATGTTGTTAGGAAGTTCACCCCTTTCCGGATTTTGTGGCCCGATTCATAAAATTTTGAAAATTCAACGTTGAAGTTTTGCTTCCAAATTGGTCAAATTTTGGTTGATTTCAATGAAATTAGTCTCAAAATGCACGCTGTAGTATTGTTTAAAGAATTTTATAATATGAATTTAAATTCAACACCAAATACGGCTGCTTTTTAAAAAAATCCAACCCCTACCCTGCCTGGCGTAATAACAATTTGGAATTTCAGATAAAATGCGCTGAATGTTCGCCTCTTTATATCGTAAATCTCACTAGATGTTTATTACATGATCTTAGAATGTGCGTTATGACATTGTTGTCACATTTGAATATGATTTTTTTTTATAAAACGAGACTTTATATGGTAAAATTAAAACAATTTTAACGCCTCACCTGTATTTTTCTCGGTATGAATACATTTTCAGGTATGCAACGTCAAAATTTAGCTTCAAACTAAGCCAAATCTTATTCTATTTATTAAATTTTAGTCTTAAAATGTGCACATAACCAATCTCTTTAGGATGTTGTAAAAAAAATAATATTCAAAACGATGTGCATTGTGTATATTAAAAAAGTTCATCCCTATCCCGATTTTGTGAACCAATTCATAAAATTATGAAAATTCAACGTTGAAGTTTTGCTTCCAAAATGGTCAAATTTTGGTTGATTTCAATGAAATTAGTCTCAAAATGCACTTTTGTGTATTGTTAAAGGAATCTTATATTAAGATTTAAAATCCAACAACAAATGCGGCTGCTTTTAAAAGAAATCTAATCCCTACCCTGCTTTGCGTAAGATCAATTTGAAATTCAGAAGAAAAAAAATGCGGCGATTTTTTTGCCTTTATATAACATAAGTACTACTCGATTTTTTACAGAAATAACCGTATAATGTGCGTTATGACATTGTTGTCACATTAAAAAATGTAAATTCATTATACAACAAGGCTTTAAATGGCAAAAATAAAATAATTTACTGCCTCACCTGTAATTTGCAGGTATAAATACATTTTCAGGTATGCAACGTCCAAATTTAGCTTCAAAATGAGTCAAATCTTACTCTATTTATTAAATTATAGTCTCAAAATGTGCACATTAACACTCTCTTGAGGATGTTGTAAGGAATTTAATATTCAAAACAATGTGCATTGCGTATATTAAGAAAGTTCACACCCCTATCCCGATTTTGTTGCCCGATTCATAAAATTATGAAATTCAACGTTGAAGTTTTGCTTCCAAAATGGTCAAATTTTGGTCGATTTCAATGAAATTAGTCTCAAAATGCACGTTTTTGTATTGTTTAAGAAATTTTATAAAATGATTTCAAATCCAACAGCAAATACGGCTGCTTTTTAAAAAAAAATCTAATCCCTACCCTCCCTGGCGTAATAACAATTTGGAATTTCAGATAAAATGCGCCGAATTTTCGGCTCTTAATATCGTAAATCTCACTAGATGTTTATTAAATGATCGTAGAAGGTGCGTTATGACATTGTTGTCACATTAAGATATGAAATTTATTATAAAACAAGAATTTATATGGTAAAATTAAAACAATTTTAACAACTCGCCTGTAATTTCTCGGTATAAATACATTTTCAGGTATGCAACGTCCAAATTAAGCTACAAAATAAGTCAGATCTTATTCTATTTTTTTAATTAGTCTTAAAATGTGCACATGAACACTCTCTTGAGGATGTTGTAAGGAATTTAATATTCAAAACGATGTGCATAGCGTATATTAAGAAAGTTCACCCCTATCCGGATTTTGTGGCCCGATTCATAAAATTATGAAAATTCAACGTTGAAGTTTTGCTTCCAAAATGGTCAAATTTTGGTTGATTTCAATGAAATTAGTCTCAAAATGCACACTTGTGTATTGTTTAAGGAATTTTATAATATGATTTTAAATCCAACACCAAATACGGCTGCTTTTATAAAAAAACCCAACCCCTACCCTGCCTGGCGTAATAACAATTTGGAATTTCAAATAAAATGCGCCGAATTTTCGCCTCTTAATATCGTAAATCTCACTAGATGTTTATAAAATGTTCTTAGAATGTGCGTTATAACATTGTTGTCACATTTGAATATGAAATTTTATTATAAAACGAGACTTTATATGGTAAAATTAAAACAATTTTAACGCCTCACCTGTAATTTCTCGGTATAAATACATTTTCAGGTATGTAACGTCAAAATTTAGCTTCAAACTAAGCCAAATCTTATTCTATTTATTAAATTTTAGTCTTAAAATTTGCACATAACCAATCCCTTGAGGATGTTGTAAGAAAATTAATATTCAAAACGATGTGCATAGCGTATATTAAGAAAGTTAATCCCTATCCCGATTTTGTGGACCAATTCATAAAATTATGAAAATTCAACGTTGAAGTTTTGCTTCCAAATTGGTCAAATTTTGGTCGATTTCAATGAAATTAGTCTCAAAATGCACGTTTGTGTATTGTTTAAGGAATCTTATAATAAGATTTTAAATTCAACGTGAGCGAGATGGCTATGGTCTCGTATAAAGTAGCCTCCTGGATTTAATAGAAATTAGTCGGTTTCCATTGGGACTAAATGGTTGAAACGTATATGAGATTGTGTGGAATACTTATGTTCTAAAGATGTTGGATTTTGAAAACTGAAATATACTTTAATTAAAGAGTATTTCTTGAAAAACTGAAAAACAATTGTTTTCAATCCTTTGTTGACAACATATAGGTGTTAGCGCTTACCTGTTTTGTGTATGCCCGGGGCATGTTTCACCTGGATTAAACATTTTATATTATCTTTTGAAACATTCTCGGAATTAAAGTGTATATAAAGTGTATATAATTTGTGGATTTATCTATGGGTAAGCAAACTGGTAAAGGGAAAAAACACCGTGAAAGAGAAAAACGGAAGAAAAGCAGTGAAACCGAATTCGACATTCGAGTGCAAAAACACGCAAAACACGGTAGTAGTATTGACGCTGACTACGATTGCAGTGATTACGAGGATAACGAGTTCGGTACTGTACACAGTCAGGATATTGGGGTAAGCGCTATTATCGGTGAGGCGAACGACATATTATACAATACGAATACACATAACTTTGCTCCAGGTGCCTCAGACTCAGTTTTTAATACACCAGTTGGTGACAAAAGGCCTAGAGCGCAAGAAAGTAGCCCCCTTTCAAACATGTCACAAAAGGAGTACACAAGTTTGGGTGATAAGATTGACTGGTTAGTGACTGCAGTGTCTGAAATGAAAGTCAATCAAGAAAGAAATCGTACGGCTTTAGAAGAGAAAATAGACAAGTTAAAAGCCGAATTTGTAGAACAAATAGAGCTAAAAGTCGGATCGCTTCGTAATGAAATCACCACAAAACTCAACACAGAAAGTGCACGTATTAATGACATATTGGAAACGGTTCAATCATTGAGTGGGCGGGTCGGTTCCCTGGAAAGCAGCCAGCCTATGCTACAAGGAGCGGTCGGTCAGGCGATAGACTTAAATAACGGCGAGCAATCGACGCATATGCCTGTGGGATTTAGGCCAAATAACGGTGAAGATTACGAAAGGTCCGTTATGGTCAGTGGGATCAATTTTGACAAAGACGAGGTAATCATCGATAAGGCCAACAGCGTGATTCATGAACTCGGCGAAGATATTGTTCAAAACGTCAAGGTCGTGAATGCAATTCGTTATCGTCGCCGTTTTAATGGAAAACCAGGTTTCGTGAAAATCATTCTAAGAAACAAGGAAGAAAAGGTATTGATTCTTCGAAATAAAATGAAATTAAAGAATTCTGAAACTCATAGTGAGGTGTATATAAAAAGCTGCAAAAGTCATGCAGTAAGATTAATCGAGTCAAACACCAGAGCTTTGTTAAGGCAATTACCACAGGGGCATGATTTTCGGGTAGATGCTAACGGTAGACTTAGACGAAATGTACGTCAATCACATGAAAATACTAGTACCCCACAGATTAATAATAATTAGGACGGATCCCGACCCAATTGCACTGTAAAAATAGGTCATTTAAATGTTTGTGGTTGGACAAATGACAATCATGCCCTACGAGAAGATATTGTGCGAAGTATAGACGCAGATATTTTAACAGTAATTGAAACACATTTACCAGCTGATAAACATATTCAATGTGAAGGCTATACGTGGTTTGGGCACAACAGTAACGAAATGCACCGTCGAGCGCCGAAACCGTCCGGTGGTGTAGGTATTCTCGTGAAAAAATGGGTCGTGGAAACGTATGAAATAAGCATAGTAGATAAATCATATGACGGAATATTGGCTTTGAAATTTGATAATCACGATATTGATACGAGTGTGATAGTGTTCTCATGCTACCTACCCCCTGAAAACTCTGTATGGGGACGTGATAGCCAGTCATTTTTCGCGCACCTACTAGCTTTAATATATACTTATGAAAATTGTGATTTTATGTTTATTGGAGCCGATTTTAATGCAAGAATTGGTAGTCTCTCTGACGTTCTAGAAGATTGTGACTCTATTCCGCCACGTGTTGTTTTAGATAAAAAAGTTAATCAGCATGGCCATTCGTTGATTGAATTCTTAAATGACACAAAATTCTGCGTCTTAAACAATAGATTTTCACATGACAATTACACTTCCATTTCGGTGAAAGGACGGGCAGTCGTCGATTATATGTGCGTACCTCAGGACATTTTTGTACATTGTAAATCGTTCACAGTATTAACAATCAATGAAATTGTAGAGAAAAATAATTTACACGGATTAATAGGTGAACGGTCACGCTTACCAGATCACTCGGCGCTGTTGGGAGAATTTGACCTTGGTATAACGGACAATAGTTCTTTTGATTGTGGAACACATGCCAATATAGACCATACTTCAAAACAGCCACGTTTTAAGCTTAAACAAATACCTAACGATTTCATGGAAAGCGATATGGTTAAGTCTGCCATCTTCAATTTGATTGATCGCATCGAGAGATGCAGAGAAACGCAGGGTGAAATTGACGCTATCTATGATAACCTATGCAAACTGATTACTCGAGAAATGCACGACAAAATTCCGCAAATAAACGCATCTAGTAGAACACAAAGGCGACGAAAGCACTTAAAACCATATTGGAATGATGAACTCCAGTCCCTGTGGTATAATATGAATACAAAGGAAAGGGCATTTTTAAAATGTGATCAAAATAACCGTTATAGACAGACATTGCATAACGAATATATCGGTGCACGTAATGATTTTGATAAGCTCCTTAGACAATGTGAACGAGCGTATAGGTATGCAAAGGCGATCGAGATTGAAGAAATGTCGACTTCTAACCCGAATGACTTCTGGCAAAAGATTAAAAGTTTAGGGCCTCGAAAGGACTCCTCTATACCGATAGAAATTATTGATGAAAATGGAACTCCTATCAGAAATGAGCACGAAGTTTGGAATAGATGGAAATCTGATTTTGAGAAATTATATAACGGTACAGATACTGGTAATTTTGATGACATACATTACAGGCAGTGCTTAAACCATAAGGAAATGATAGAGCGTAGAAATGAGGATCCGTTATATACCCCGAATGCATTAATGAACCGAAATATTTCAATTGAAGAAATCTCCAGCATTATTATGAAAGCTAAAAGTGGGTCAGCTCAGGGATTTGACCGTATTCCGTATGATGTATTGAAATTCCTAGCAGTCATTGCGGTGTTGAAGGAACTTTTTCAATTGATATTTGATTGTAGCATTATCCCATCAATTTGGCGTAAATCGATTATATTCCCAATTCTTAAGGATCCAAATACTGATAAACGAGTACCCTTAAATTATAGAGGAATCAGTCTACTGTCTTGCGTAAACAAATTATATACTGCGTTTATTAATAAACGTGTTTCTGGATACATGGAATCAAACAATCTTATGGCCGATGAACAGAATGGTTTCCGAAAAGGCAGGTCTTGTGAAGATCATATTTTTACACTTAATAGCATTGTACGTAACAACAAAAACACATTCACTGCTTTTATAGACTTAAGAAAGTGCTTTGATTTTGTTGATAGAGGCTTACTTTTGTATAAACTGTTACTTAACAATGTCGATGGGAGAGTTTATCATATATGCTAGTGCATCGGCTTGTGTTCGCATAAATAATAGCAGATTACCAAATTCTTTTGTCCATACTGATTGGTTCGATTGTACTACTGGATTAAAGCAGGGGTGTACGCTGTCGCCGACGCTCTGGTCGTGTTTGCAAATGACCTCATTCACGAAATTAATAGTCTTGGGCTTGGAATTAACGTTGGTTCTATGATGGTATCTAACATTGTTCTACGCGGATGACATAGCGCTGATCTCAGACTCAGAAATAATTTGCAGCGTATTGCTTGATGTTGTACATGAATGGTGGGCAAACGGTGGCGCGTCTTAGTAAAAAACTAATAAGTCCAAATGTGTCCATTTTCATAGAGGACCTACACAGCGCAGTGAATTTATTTTCAGAGTTTGGTGAAAATGATCTAGAGGACCGTTGATCATTATAAATATCTGGGCATAGTTTTTGATGATAAAATGAACTTTAAATCTTAATTTGTGAATCATTATCTAAAGGTGCTGGAAGAGCTTTAGGGAGCATAATCTGTTAAAATTCACAAATCTGAAAGATACTGGAATTAACACATTTTGAAAAAACTGGTAGGCAGTTGTGTGAGTCCGATATTGGAGTAGTATGGTGCCTCCTCGTGGGGCTTCAAGTCGTACCAATGTGTTGACAATGTCTATCACCGCGCGCTAAGATACTTTTTTGGTGTACATAGATTTGCACCACTCGTAGCAATGTATGGAGATTCAGGATGGCTACCAAGTGTGTTCAGACAGAAACTGCCTATAATACGGTTTTGGAACAGGTTGTTATCAATGCCGGATGATAGACTAACCAAAAAAGTGTTCTTATATGATTACGGTAAATGCAATACATGTGAAAATTGGTCTTCAAATATAAAAAAGATTTTTAGTGATCTTAATTTAGAACAGCACTTTACAGACTTAACAACAGTTAGTCTGTCTACTGCTAGAGATAAAATACGAGACATGTACTGTAATAAATGGCAGACCGATTTGCAATCATGTAGGAAACTTCGTACATATAAACTGTTTAATGATACCTTTGATAAGGAAGATTATATTTCACTTAATTTAAGAAAACATGAACGGTCACTTTTATGTCAGTTCAGATTTGGCATTTTACCTATACGTATTGAGACTGGGCGTTTCGTTGGAGAAGCAGTGGAAGACAGAATGTGTCGTTTTTGTGAAAGAAATGAAGTGGAGGATGAGACTCACTTTTTGTTATCATGTGATATTTATAGACACATAAGAAACGATATATTTGTTAATATTGACTGTGTTCAGGACATGAATATAACCATTTCTGAAAAAGTACGTGTGTTGATGACTGATCACATAAGAAAGACAGCCAAATATATAATGAAAGCTTACTTGTTTAGACGAAGTATACTTTACTCTTAAATTATGAAAATAATCTAGGTTTTGCATTTCAACAAAAAATATGTCTCACATAACTATTTTTTTTGTTATACTAGTATGTGCATACTATCATATTTATAATTTGGTGTTGTTTTACCATAACCATTTCCCTCACGTTATCTGTCATATCATGTAAAGTTATATGATTAATGTTATTTATTATAAAAGGTGACTAATATGTCCACTGGGCCGGGTGCATAACTCTTTGTTAAAATGTATTGTACTATATAAATGTTCATTGCATATGTCACTATAATAAACAATTATCTTATCTTTTCAACACCAAATACGGCTGCTTTTAAAAGAACTCTTACCCCTACCCTGCTTTGCGTAAGATGAATTTTCAATTCAGAAAAAAATGCGGCGATGTTTTTGCCTTTAAATAACGTAAATACCACTCGATTTTTACATAAATAACCTTATAATGTCCGTTATGGCCTTGTTGTCACATTAAAATATGAAAATTTATTATGAAACAAGGCTTTAAATGGCAAAATTAAAATATATTTAAAAAGTTCACCACTGTTGATTTGGCGGACCGATTCATAAAATTTAGAAAAAAAATAACGTCGAACTTTTGCTTCCAAATTGGTCAAATTTTGGTCAATTTTAATGAAATTAGTATCAAAATGCCCGTCTATGTATATAAATGAAGTGGTATTTACGTTATTTAGAGGCATAATTCGAAGCACTGACTCTGAATTCCAAATTGATATTACGCAAAGCACGGTAGGGGGTTACATTTCTTTAAATAGCAGCCGTATTAAGTGTTAGATTTAAAATCCTATTTTACAGTTCCTTAAACAATACATAGACGAGCATTTTGATACTAATTTCATTGAAATTGACCAATAGACGGGCATTTTGATACTAATTTCATTGAAATTGAATATAAATTTTCTTACAACATTCTGAAATGATTGCCCATGTGCAAATTTAAAAATTATTATTAAATAAATACAATAAGATTTCACTAATTTTAAAGCTAAAATTGAACGGTGCATACCTGAAAATGTCATTATACAGGCAAATTACAGGTAAGGCGGTTAGATGATTTTATGTTTGCTATTTACTGTCTTGTTTTAAAATAAAATTCCATACTTTAATGTGACAACAGTGTGATAACGGACATTCTTCGATTATGTATGTAAAACTCGAGTGGTATTTACGTTATTTAGAGGCAAAATTCGAAGCACTTTTTCTGGATTCGAAATTGATATTACGCAAAGCAGGGTAAGGGGTTATACTTCTTTGAATAGCATCCGCATTTAGTGTTAGATTTAAAATCCTATTTCACAGTTCCTTAATCAATACATAGACGGGCATTTTGATGCTAATTTCATTGAAATTGACCAAAATTTGACCAATTTGGAAGCAAAAGTTCGACGTTAATTTTTTTTCTAAATTTCATGAATCGGTCCGGCAAATCCATAAAGTGGTGAACTTTTTAAATATACGCAATGTACATTGTTTTGAATATAAATTCCCTTACAACATTCTCAAGAGATTGTTCATGTGTACATTTAAAGACTAATATTAAAAAATTAGAATATCATTTTACTGATTTAGAAGCTAAAATTGAACAGTGCATACCTGAAAATGTTATTATACCTGCAAATTACAGGTGAGGTAAACAAATTATCTTAATCATGCCATTTAAAATCTTATTTTAAAATAAAATTTTCTACTTTAATGTTACCACAGTGTCATATCGCACAATCTATTATCATTCATGTAAAAATCGAGAGAATTTAACGATATTAAGAGGCAAAAATTTGGCGCATTTCATTTGAAATTACAAATTGATATAACGCTGGGTAGGGGTTAGATTTCTTTCAAATGCAGCCGTATCTGTTGTTGGATTTAAAATCGTATGATACCGTTCCTTAACCAATACATACACGTGCATTTTGATACTAATTTCATTGAAATCGACCAAAATTTGACCAAATTGGAAGTAAAAGTTCAACGTTAAATTTTCTAAATTTCATGAATTGGTCCGCCAAATACGGATAGGGGTAAACTTTTTAAATATACGCAATGCACATCGTTTTGAATATAAATTTTCTTACAACATTCTGAAGAGATTGTCCATGTGCACATTTAAAGACTATTATTAAATAAATAGAATAAGATTTCACTGATTTAAAAGCTAAAATTGAACGGTGCATACCTGAAAATGTCATTACTCAGGCAAATTACAGGTGAGGCGGTTAGATTATTTTATGTTTGCTATTTATAGTCTTGTTTTAAAATAAAATTCCATACTTTAATGTGACAACAGTGTCATAACGGACATTCTTCGATTATGTATGTAAAACTCGAGTGGTATTTACGTTATTTAGAGGCATAATTCGAAGCACTTTTTCTGAATTTGAAATTGATATTACGCAAAGCAGGGTAAGGGGTTATATTTCTTTGAATAGCAGCCGTAATAAGTGTTAGATTTAAAATCCTACTTTACAGTTCCTTAATCAATACATAGACGGGCATTTTGATACTAATTTCATTGAAATTGACCAAAATTTGACCAATTTGGAAGCAAAAGTTTGACGTTATTTTTTTTCTAAATTTTATGAATCGGTCCGGCAAATCCATACAGTGGTGAACTTTTTTAATATACGCAATGCACATCGTTTTGAAAATAAATGTTCTTACAACATTCTGAAGAGATTGTCCATGTGCACATTTAAAGACTATTATTAAATGAATAGAATAAGATTTCACTGATTTAAAAGCTAAAATTAAACGGTGCATACCTGAAAATGTCATTATATAGGCAAATTACAGGTGAGGCGGTTAGATTATTTTATTTTTGCTATTTATAGTCTTGTTTTAAAATAAAATTCCATACTTTAATGTGACAACAGTGTCATAACGGACATTCTTCGATTATGTATGTAAAACTCGAGTGGTATTTACGTTATTAAGAGGCAAAATTCGAAGCACTTTTTCTGGATTCGAAATTGATATTACGCAAAGCAGGGTAAGGGGTTATATTTCTTTGAATAGCAGCCGCATTTAGTGTTAGATTTAAAATCCTATTTCACAGTTCCTAAATCAATACATAGACGGGCATTTTGATGCTAATTTCATTGAAATTGACCAAAATTTGACCAATTTGGAAGCAAAAGTTCGACGTTAATTTTTTTCTAAATTTTATGAATCGGTCCGGCAAATCCATACAGTGGTGAACTTTTTAAATATACGCAATGCACATCGTTTTGAATATAAATTCCCTTACAACATTCTCAAGAGATTGTTCATGTGTACATTTAAAGACTAATATTAAAAAATTAGAATATCATTTTACTGATTTAGAAGCTAAAATTGAACAGTGCATACCTGAAAATGTTATTATACCTGCAAATTACAGGTGAGGTAAACAAATTATCTTAATCATGCCATTTAAAGTCTTATTTTAGAATAAAATTTTCTACTTTACTGTTACCACAGTGTCATAACGCACAATCTATTATCATTCATGTAAAAATCGAGAGAATTTCACGATATTAAGAGGCAAAAATTTGGCGCATTTCATTTGAAATTACAAATTGATATAACGCTAGGTAGGGGTTAGA